CCTTCTAGTACGTCACACTTTATCGCAAATCCCATCAACTAACGCATTCTACCTGGCAGTCGCGGAGTCGGCCCGCAATCGCTTGAATAACGCGTGCCAATTCATGCATAACGGAAAGACTCCAGTCTATGAGTCTACACACACCGGACCTCAGCACGACCGCGTCTGGACTAGCATTGTCTACGGTGAGCTTTTGTTCCCTGTGTCATCTTTATAGCTACTGATGTGAATATTGTGGATGAAGTCGAAGGCATCGAGTACGGAAGAGGTTCCGGAAGAGGTCAAGATTCCGCTCGTGAAGCAGCAGCGGTCGCAGCCCTTGCTGAAATGGAGAGACAGTACGGTCGATCATTTTAGGTGCTCTGGGTGAGTTTGGTAGGATCGTTCCACATACTTGTCAGATCTTGATCAACCGGACTACAAGTACTCAGGCCTTAGGACTTAAACCTCCAGTCGAGTGATGTCTTCGATTACGTTCATGGGCCGCATAGAGTAGAGTTTCCCACTTAGTTATTTCTCGTTAGATGAGCCGTTAGATGTGTTGCCTTAATGCTTGGTTTAGAATTGGATTTGATTTCCTTTACATAAATAGAATGACCGTAGAGAACAACGAAGAGGTTGGCCATAATGGTTTGGGCAGTAACCACTGGTCAAAGGAGTTCTGAGATATCGATGTAACGGCAACGTTATGCCAGTGGAAGCAACAAATTCATTTCACCAAGTAGGTGTACATTGTACGTATGCCATAGTATCACAACATTTCCCGGAACAGACGAGATATGAGTAATTTTGGTCGGACATCTTTTCTGGGATGCTCCGTCAGCTGTTGACTCATGCCCACCGGAGTGGGTGTACTCTTACCTGATATCAGAACGGGAAAATGAATCCTGAAATACCTTCTTGAGTGTACCTAAGATTACTGCTGGCGTTATCGCGTTCCGCAGCTGACATAGTATAAAAATGATCCGTTTGCGCATTACTGTACTCGCGGAACAGTGGCAGTGCGCCACAATTGGTGTTCGAGTACACATAGCCCACAACTCCCTCGTCAGAGTATCCGAGATTGGAGATAGCATTGTTCCTTTCATTAAGGTCTGCGGTGTAGAAGTGATCCAGGGCAGCATTCGAGTACGTTCTGTACAAAGGAACGGTTTGGGGCTCCTGGTTGGCGAAAACGTACCCGGTGGTGCCTTCGTCGATGTAGCCGAGTGAGGAGGTCGCGCGCGTCATTTCTGCAGCGTCGGTAGTGTAGAAGTGATCTGTGCCCGGCTTGTAGGCCCTAAGCAAGGGAACGGTATTTCTTGGGTCCCCACAAGCTTTGGCAGGACCAGCGCGAGCCTGCGAGAACAAGACCAATAAGCCGTCATAATTATTGGGCAGGTTGAACACCCTACAGCAATATAAATGTTGTTGTTCTCCGCCGGCATAGCCAGTGCGTAAGCTGTGAAGGCCAAAGTAGAGAAAAGAAGAGATCCTTTGAGCTGCATTTTGCTTGTGAAAACTGGAGTAGGTCTTGGGAGGATACTGATGGCAATTATCCATATGCAAGATTATATATTCTGAGCGGTCGCATATTATGCGGTGGAAAGCTCACAACTTGAGGGAATACGTCGTTGACTGGTTCCATACTAGCTATTCGCGTTATGATTTGGTCTACAGCTGATAGCTTCTCGCCTATTACTCAGCCAGTTCTTTTGCCAGTAGGATATGCAGAGTTTCTGAGATTATGGAGGGAGAGCGCTGACAATCAATGGGGAAATCGACACCGTATCTCGGCAGGGAAAACAGCAGAATTGAGGGTCGCCGTGTCAAATTCGTCCATCACGTGACCGACTCGGCCTTCGTACCGCATCGCCCGACCATCCTAACCCAACAAGTAACCAATAAGTTGACGATATTTAGACCATCTTGGCCTATCCGCTGGGCACTCGAGTCAATAGAACCTTGCTTGCCACAGTTGACACCTACATATGACTCCAAACTTGCTAGTGTCTAGATGAGAAGTTCGTCCAATTAGCGACATGTCAACTAGAGTTCTGGACCGATGTCGCTGAGCGTCAGTCGCCACATATTGCGACACGATTCATCACTTCGCTGAGACTTGACATTGGTCTTCGTAGCTCTGAATGCCACACTACATATCTTCTTGCCACGCTGTGGGCCATAATCTATTCATCTAGAGCAGTGTTGAGGATCTAGACACAAAGGCTCGAAAAGGTCTGCGCCATCCGCTCACTATCACCAACGCTACCGGCCGATGCGAGACTCGAGCGTGGTATTAGCTAAGCTACCGGCGTCCAGCTGAGCGGCAAGGAATGCAGAGGAAGTTTTCCTGCATCCCTCTGCATCACTTGCCGTCGTCGAACGCATCGTTCCCGTCCCCTCTGCTTATCTTCCGCTAGTTTTATTTTCCCTCCCACCCATCCCAAAAGAAGCAAACTGCCCTCAAAAAAAGTATCCTTCATTTATGCCTCAGTACTACGTAGCTTATATTATCGTGCCTTTTTATTCCACCTACATCGATAAAACCAATTAAATATACTTGCTTGCCTGACTAATCCACGTTGCGGAGAGCAGCGCGACCGCCCAGCGGCTAGTTTTCGCCCGCGTTCTGCGTCAGCTTCGCTGACCCAACTCAACCTCCTGCTCTTTACAGCCACATACCTTCCTCAAGCACAGCGAGAGACGAAGCCAGAGGATCGGGCGATCGGAAAGCGGCCCGCCTTCCGTCATCTAATCTATTTATCCATTCTGCGCAATCTAATCTCGAGCTGTACACGCTCCTACAGGATCCATATTCGGGGGCTTATATAGCAACCCAGAAATTGGCTTTCCTGGGATGTCCGGGCAAGCCAAGCAGGAGATATAAGACATTTTATTCGTTATACAGGATGAGTTGCACGGATATCCATCCAAGATTCCTTCTATCACACCTACTCTTTACTTACTCCTCTTGTAAATTTTGCCCAAGAAACTATCAAACACCTCCTTCTTCAACCCACCCTCAACTTCCACAATCTCCCCGATCTTCGTCCTCAACTTACACACCACGCCCTCCTCATACTCCTTATACACCTTCTCAATCCCCACCTCCCCAAACACCCTTTTCACCACCTCCTCCTTCTCCGCATCCTTCCTTCCGTAATTCTCATCAAGCACCGCGCGCTGCTCCGGCGTCGCCAATGCCAGCGCGGTGTTGATGACCCACGAACACTTGTTGTCGACGATGTCCGTGCCGATTTTGCCGATCTGCTCGGGCGTGCCGGAGTAGTCAAGGAAGTCGTCTTGGATCTGGAAGTACTCGCCGAGCGGGAGGAGTATGGAGAGCGCGAGGTCGTATGGGCGCACGGTGGTGGGGTCGTTGGGGCCGGCGGGGGGCACGGAGTATGATTCGGGGATGTGGGAGACGAGCATGGCGCATGCGACGGGGAGGTAGAAGGAGTAGTACGCGGTTTTGTAGATCACGATAAGGCGATGTCTGGTAATCCGTTTTAGGGAAGAGTAAGGTGGTAAGAGTTAGGGAAGAGTCGTACCTTTCCAATGAGAACTTGCTGAGATCGACTTTATCCTCCGGAGCCGTGATGAGATCGACCAACTGGCCCATCTCGGTCTGGTACGTCGTCTCGTGGAATAGGTCGAGCAGATCCGCGTAGTAGATTTCTTTGCGGAAGTGCACCTTGAGGAGACGGTAGATCGCCGCCTCGAGCATGAAGGAGTCGTTGATCGCGATCATGCCGACGTGCTCGACGCGGTACCAGCAGGACTGTCCACGTCGGGTGATGGACGCGTCCATCATATCATCCGCAACGAGGAAGTACGCCTGGAGCTGAACACAAAACAGTCAGACCACGAGACGGCGATTGTGTGACGGATGATTTAACGTACGAGCTCGACGCACCAGCCTAGGACGGCGGCTTTGAAGTACTCCTCCTCTGTTAAGTCGCGACCTTTGAGGATCTCGACGGTGTCGACGACCGACATGCCTCGGTTGAGTTTCCCGCCGGGGACATTGTAGTCGAGGTTCTAAAAACAAAAACGTTATGTTATGTCAACGCACTGTCACGATCACCGAATCGAATGGATCGGAAGATGGAGATAGTTTTGAAATAGACAACGGAGAGTTCATCCCCAGTTGACTGCTGAGCATGCTGAGCAGAGATTGCATTTCAAGATATAGTGATCCGGAAGCCCACATGCCATGAGCGGAATCCAAGTTCTCCGAGAATGTCGATTCGGGAAGGGTATGAGACGGATAAGGGAACAAAAGAGACAATGCGGGCAAATGAGACAGACAAGAACGCACGTTACGATACCACTCAACCGCCTCCTCTGGCATGCCCTCTCCAGCAAAATGCTCAATCAACTCATCCCTAATCTTCTGGAACACACCCTCGAACCTCGTGCGTCGCGCAGCTTTCGCCTCCGGTGTAGACATTTTGGTACTATCGAACGGTGTCGGTGGCGAAACAGAAAGCGAAGGCGAAGTTGGTTTAGAGAAAAGGTATAAAGCGAGCCCAAGGACGAGAAGACAAGAAAGCACGATCTCGTGAGGGCGAAAGCGCGCAATTATAAGCCTCGTGTGGGTTATCGATGGAAGCTGCTTGAGTCTATAGCGCGTTAGATGACGGCGATAAGGCCGACACAATAGTTGATATAAGTACCTTTCCAAGGAGTTGCAGAATGCGACGAAATTAATAGAATGGTCCAAGAACCGTCGCGAACGGATAACAAAAGAAAACGAAAGTGGTCCGACGCCCCTGTCCACTTCGGATCACAACAAAAAAAGTCTGCCCACTTGTTCGCTTGCACCAGGTTTGCCGATGCCGGCTCCATTTAGGCGCTTGAATATTTCCATTTCAACGCAGCGTCAATTCAGACGTATGACATACGTTTGACATTCAGTAGCAAATTTTGTATGGCCATTCAAATTCCACAACATAAGAGAGAGGTGTCATAGAAGGTCATAGAAGGTCTGCTGGATTTTAGCACCAGCAAAAAGATTCGGGTACGGGGAATCGAACCCCGAGCTGCCGCGATCACTGGTTGAGAGGCGGCAATGTTAGCCGTTACACCATACCCGATTACATGAGTGGTTGAAGCTTGCGCATTCAGTTACGATCCAGGCATTAGGTCTGGAGTTGGGCTCAACCTATGGTTCGTAGCAAGTCACAAAGACGATTTTCTGATAGTAGACTGAAGATATAAAACTTGCAGACAGGAGGGGAGAATAGAATTCTATGGTCCATATGCTTACCAGTTGCATCATCAACTAGCTTTCACCTTCACACGAAACAATCAAGTTGTCATCAAGTTGTCATCAAGTTGTCATCCCGCCGAATCCCTCGCGCAGGCATGAAACTCCTTGTTCGCATTTCACGGACGGCAGATTACTTGGATGCCATGTCCATAAGTCATCAGATGGAGACACATGAGATCGGTGGATTCACTAAACCGTTGAACCCCGCGCCGATTCATTCGCACCTCCTTGATGTGTTGGAACCACAAGTTGCCAAAGCAACGCAACGAGTCTCTCCAACCTCACCTCAACCGTACTCTCCAGCGCCTGCAGCCTCTCTCCCAATCTATTCTCCAGCTTTAACACCCTCTCATCCACCTTCTCTCCATCGCCTTCCAACCCCCCATTCATATCGCCAATCATTACGGGGCGATCGAGCATCTTTCCCTTAGCAGCCTCGAAACGCTCCTCATCCTTACCCATAGACTCAGATGAAGCCATCATCCCGGAAGACATGACGTTTAACTGTTGGTTGACTTTGTTGTCGAGTGAGGAGAGACCGGCGTTCAGTCGCAACTCCATTTCCGCGAGTTGCTTTTCAAGCGTAGTGGCTTTGCCTTGGTCGGGTTTCACTGCGCAGCTATCCTTGAACCGTATGAGCGGGTGCTTGTGACAATGAGTTGTCGGATACCCTTGTCCTTTCAGCACACCTGATGAGCTGGTGGAGTTTCGGCAGGTCCGTTCAACTGTGCCCATGATTGGGTTAAGGGAGTTCTTGGAGCCCCGGCTTATAATGGATGGGCTTCGTCAACTCACACAGTCCGGTATGGTGTAACGGCTAACATTACCGCCTTTCATCAGTTTGATTGGTCGCGGTAGCTCGGGGTTCGATTCCCCGTACCGGAATCTTTTTGAAGTCCTAACATTCAACATGCCTTTATTGCACTTTAATACGAAGTGCCGAGTGTTTTTTCACCAGGTACGGCGCCAAGGATCCCTCTCACATCCCAGCAGCTCCGAGTCTCTCCGGGTATGATTTTCCACACCAGACATTTGAAGCATGACCACAAGCGCCGCAGTTAGTTCGATTCTACCAAGGTTAATCAGTACTGGCCGTACGCAAGAAGGGCCCAACAACTTGGGTTCACAATCATGTCGAGGACCCAGCAACAGCTCTTCACCTTTGGTACATCCAATGCGCATTCCAATCTCTATAAGTAATTCACGAGTTCACTTCTAACTATACATCCATTCGAAAGTTTGATTGAGTTTTTCGCTTTCAATGATGTATTGACTGCGATATTCTGGCTTGCTTCGTTCTTCTTCACGACACAGGCGCAGATTTCTGGAACGTCAAGTGATAATTCTCGTACTGAATGTCAAGATGATTCCGCTTCTTTGGCTCTTCAAGATACACCAGGATCACTTCTAGAACACCCCAGTGTTCTGACTCAGACATGGCCGAAAGCCGCCTGCGCCAAATAGGGCGCCTCAAGCTCCTTTATCTCCTCCGTCGTCAACGTCACATTGGTAGCACCTTATATCGACACCGTAACATGTCAGCGTCATCCGGCGTCAATGCAGACCAGTCAACATGAACGCACCAAGCAAGTCATGAAGATTCTCGAGTGAAGTAGTTCCGACGATAGGTGCCGAGACGCCTAACGTTTAGCGAAGTCAGATTCTATGATAGGGCGCAGCTAGCGTGGAGCTTTTCTTACCGTCCCTGCTCAAGATCCATGCGAGCGTAAGCTGGGCCATGCTGATGCCTTTTGCTTTGGCTATCTTCTCCACGCTGCATTGCGCACAACATTGTCAGCTTGGACTAACCAAGGCTTTGGGGTGGTAAAATATTGTACTGACGCGTGGACTATCTCTTCGGTGCCTTTATTGTTGCTGTAACCCTTGATAAGGCTGCATGCATGATGCGAAACCTAGTCAGTGAAGCAGTAAATAGCGTTGGAGAAGTGGCGACTCACCGGTCTGTTCCTCCACGGACCGTTTCCGACCCCAGAGGCCGCGTTAGAAGTCCGCGAGCGAGGGGTGACCATGGAATAGACCCGACGTTGAAGTGCTACAGAGAGAAATGTTCGTGTTGATTTATTTCATTGATCACATACCGAGGTGGAGGAACTGCCATCGTACCTTCAAAGTAGGGAACATCTCTCGTTCTTCTTCGCGATATACAAGATTGTAATGATTTTGCATGGATATGAAAGGCGTTAACTTGTTATTGATCGCGTAGTCTGAAGGTCGTTAGTTCGATGATCATCCAAATTGCATATTGAGATTTTTACTTTGCATCGCATGGACTATGGGGAGTTTTCAAGAAAAGAAGCATTTGATATCAAAGACCACGTACATTGCCAGGCCCAACAAGAGGACATGCCGATGTAGCGAGCATATCCTGCTTGGACCACATCATGAAGCGCTTGCATCTGCAACAACGACGCGTGAGTAGCCTTTCCAGCTGAAGTCCCGTGTTCACCCACAGTTTCGGCGATAGGAGTCTCAGGATCAAAGCGATGACCTATTGTTGGAATTGATTTTTAGCGGGGCCCGATAAATGCGGGTTCCAGACCTACACTGTAAGACATCGACATAGTCGAGTTGAAGACGCTTCAAGCTGTGCTTGATAGACTCGAAGATATGCTAGATAAACCTGTAAGTGAACTGTCTTGAACTTCGGTTCAGAAATCAAGGACCTTGCGACTCAAGCCGTGCTGATTGATGTATCCCTCGCTATCGGGGTCTGATCCTTGCAAGAATTTCGCGTCGATAGTTCTTCCCACAGTATAGAAAACCTTTTGATGAGGTTCAGAGCCATGACAATGTCTACATTGGATGGACGAGTACGAGCCTTGGTCATGACCACGATTTCGTCGCGTGGGAGGTTGTGCTGCTTGATTGCTTTACCCAACATAATTTCAGATTGGCCATTGGAGTAAACCTGAAATAGTTTGAGGGCACTTGTCAACGATGTGAAGGATAGAAACAAACAGACATTCGCTGTATCGAAGGTATTGATCCCTGCGTCGTAACTTTGGCGGTCGGAACACGAGATGTTGATGCGAATGAGGATGAAATCGCCGGAAAGTACACTCTTCACTCACGCTGCTTTGATGTGCTTGATGGATTCCTCCTCTGGCAATACCCAAGCTTGCCACTTGGGAGACCCATACGACATGCATCCGAGGATGATTCTAGACACTTTCAACCCCGAGGAACCGAGACGAACTGATATAGACTCATCAGGGTCGAGTCTAGGCAGTTTGAGATAAGAACGCGACCACACACCATATGTCATTCCTTTTTTTCCTTCAGACATTTCTTTATCTCAGAACTTGAAGCCTTATCTTAGCAGTGGTGGTTCAGGATCAAGAAGCGTGCAGGAGCGTGGAGGAACCCCTAAGCAACCCCTAAGCTTACGCATCCAGTTTCACAGGACATTGGAAAGTGATTTGAGAACCGGACCGGGAGACAATCTTATCAGATCCGATAAGCGCGTGAAAGCAAGGTCAGGTTGCGCATACCTTAGATAGACTGGTAACCATCCGCAGTATTGGGGCAAGAGGTTATATGATAATTGTGGTAGCGTTTACAACACGTCATACTGCGAGCGGCCGCCTGTTAGCTCGCGCACTCGGGTGCTGAAATAATTCTAAAAAAAATCAAGTAGGGATGGATGTATGCTGGTGAATCTGGTGTAGTATCCGCCGGGTGCTCTATGATTCAGCCTTTCGGTGGAATGAATACACGATAATCTGTACATATTCGTACATTCAATAATAAACATAAGTATTTCAAGGTGCACCAACAACTGCCAATCCCCTCCCGGACAACATGTCCTCGAAATCATTTCTTCAAACCAAGAACTCGTTCGTAGAAACCCAATTCCCGCTCCAATGAGTCACGCATGTTTGCTTCTTGACGCCAACCATGACCCTCACCAGGATAGAGCTTATATTCCACCACGCCACCTCGATCTTTAATGCTGTTGTATATCGACTCTGCTTGATCTTTGGGAACGACCATGTCAATCTCACCCTGCAGTATCTGTTCCGTTCCGATCATCAAACATGAAACGCGTCAAAAAAAGACTCGAACAACATGGCAGTTTAGCTTTCGCTTACCAGCAACGGTGACACGATGTTGTCCGCGTGATAAATCGGAGACCTCGCGTTGTAGACATCAGGAACTTCCTCATAGGTACCCCCGACGAGCTTGTCCAAGTATCGCGATTCGAATTTGTGGGTGAATTCCGATAGTTTTTGTAGATCAGAGACGCCGTACAAGGAAGTTGCTGCTGCGAATACAGAAAGATCGGATGCAGTGGAGAGCGTAGCAAGCACAGTGAAGCCTCCGGCAGAACCTCCACGGATGAAAAGGCGCTTGGAGTCGATGAGATCGTACGAGGATGAGGAGAGTGTTTTTGCTGCGGTGATGCAGTCTTGAACGTCAACTACTCCCCATTTGCCTACAAGTCTTTCAATATACTGTCGACCGTACCCCGAGGACCCTCCGTAGTTCACATCGAGCCTTAACATGGGGGGTCAACAGAGAGTTTCACCACTATAGAAACTTTGAACGAACCATGCCCAACCTCGAGAGGTAAAGTACTGCTTTCCCCAGTTTAATCCCTGGGTCGTAAATCCAGTAGGTCCGCCGTGCACATTGACTATACATGGAGGCTTTTCACCTTCGATGCTACTCCCAGAGTAGCTGGGATTATGGGGAGGGTAGTAAACTACGTGAAGTGGAGCGTCCGTGGGGGGAACCTTCAAGGTAATGGGTTGTGGTTCGGAAATCAGCTCGCGAGGAAGGTCGCCTCCGGCGGAGCCAACCTTTGCCGCCGCAGCGCCCTTGAGAACTTTAAGGTCCAAGTTCGTCAAAGAAGTCAACGAGCATTGCACAATACTCTCCTTCTCGTTCGTTTTCTGGCCGATGAAAACAACTTCCTGGGTCTCGAACGAAACCGTTCGCATGACTTCGACTACCACAAAAGGACTTTCAACCGGCTTTGGCATAGATCCGCCATTTAGATCTACAAGATAGAGAACATCGCGACCATCTTTGACAGCGTTCCACAAGCCCGTTTTACCCCCTTGGTCAAGGATAGCGTAGGGGGAATAGTGGAAAACCCAGTATGGATGGGCAAAGTCCTCGGCAACGGGTTCGGGAAACAACGGTGAGGCCTTTCCGTTTCCGTACTTCCATGGGTTCGTGTAGCCGGATTCATCCGATGTGAAGATGAGGTTATCATTGTTCGCCCAAGCCGGGTATCCTGCGCCAATTTCGCCTCGAACACCTGCCACGTGAACATTATTCGAGACAGAGATAGTTCCATCAGCATCAACCAGGACATCAGCGATATGGACTTCGCCGCCTTCCCAAGGCATATCAGGGTGATACCATTGCTGCCAGGCAAGGCGATTTCCATTCGGCGAGAACTTAGGCAGCGCGTAGAAATCAGCGCCAGATAAGAGAGGATGTATAGTCTTTGTGTCAGTGTTGACGACGACTAAAGTGGTGACAATTTCTGAGGGAATGTCCGTAGTATGATCTTCGAGAACAGACAGTAGAAGGTGTGGGTGATTGGGGTGCGGTTCAAAGCATGCATAACGATACGGTTTCTCTTCTAGTTCGGAATCAGTAATGCCTAGACTTCGAAGATCACTTGTTCCAACCACCTCACCTGGTGATACGGCCTCGGGCTCCCCTCCTTCCTTGACTCTATAGATGCGGCCGTCGGACAGGTTCGAGAAGTACGCAACCGCATTGTGCACGATTGCCGGAGCACCCCCATACTCCTGGGCACTCGTTCTCACATTCCAGGCTGGCCCGACCACATCACGATTGGAACCTGTGTGAACTAGAACATTGCGGCCAGCCTCCGATGGCCTACT